CCTGATGCCTGCAATGTCTCTGGCTCCCGTTGGTTTGCTGCTCCCTCTTTTTTTCCCCTTCCAAACACGCTCCGCCTTCTCTTCCCAGCTGACCCGGGTTATGGTTGTTCGCAGGTTGATGATGTCTTTTTCTTCCGAAACCCCCTCTCCAAGCATCCCCTGGCCAAGGGGACGCTCTTGCTGAACCGGCACCATCTTTCCTTCATCTCTCCCAACTACCATGCGAAGGTGTGTCTCCCTCCTCCCCCCTTTTCCCCCTCCCTCCCCTTCCCCCCTCCCTCCCTCTCGCTCTCCTTCTCGTGTGACCCTTGCCTCACCTGCCTCCGCTTGTCTTTCCACCACCGCCGCTGCCACCGCCACCACTGCGAATCGTTCCCCCTGCGCCGGCAGATCCTCTACACCAAGATGTTCCACATCACCTCGCGCAGCAAGAGCCCCAACGACGGATCCAAGTCCGCCGACCGGCACTACATCATCACCATCCACTCGCGGGACTACCTGGTCTACTCGATCATCCTGCCGGATGGCGTGGACCGGGAGAACTTTTACCAGACGCTGATCAGCTATCGACCCGGTATGTGTGCCCCCTTTTGTGTGGGCCGCCTGTCTGGCCTTCTCTTCCACTGGCCACATGCTAATCGCCTGTCCCTGCTGCCGTGCCACAGCCTCCTTCCAAAACTACCCAGCGCTGGCCCAGTCCGATGGCGGCACTCCGCGTGCCGGCCATGTCACCCCTACCGGCACCTTTGATGAGGGCTGGAAGATCTACGATCCCCACAGCGAATATCGCCGCATGGGCGTCGAGACCGTGTCCAAGATGTGGCGCATTTCCAGCCTCAACGACGAGTACAGTGTGCGTGTACCTGGCTGTCCTTCATGCTGGGCGCCACTCCGCCGCTCTTCCTCCCCGCGCTGCCCTGCTGACCGCGTCCTCGCTGCGCCTCATGCTTTACACCCGCGCACCCCCCTTTTTCTCTCGCACACACACACACACACACACACACACACACGCACACACACACGCACACACACACGCGCACACACACACACACACCAGCTCTGCGACACATATCCCAAGGTCATCGCCGTGCCTGCCGAGGCCAGCGATGCCATCCTCGAGGGGGCGGCCAAGTTCCGCAGTCGCTGCCGGCTGCCAATCCTCAGCTACCTGTATCTGCCGAATGGAGTGCGTCCATATGCCTTGCCAACACTCCCCGCCGCCTTCGCGCCCCGTGTCCCTGCCTCGGCTGACCCTCCCTCCGCCCGGCTAGGCCTCCATTTCTCGAAGCAGCCAGCCTCTGGCCGGGCTGGCCAGTGTGGGCAAGCGCTCGACCGCCGACGAGACCCTCGTGTCAATGTACTTCTCGGCGGCCGAGAAGGACCGCGCGCAGCGCCTGCCCGGGTTCACCCTGCCCGGTGGGGCGACTGGCACGCAGAACCACATCGTCGACGCCCGGCCCCGGGTCAATGCCATTGCCAATGCCGCCATGGGCAAGGGGTTCGAGCAGCCGGACTTCTACCAAAACTGCACGCGCGAGTTCCTGGGCATCGACAACATTCATGTCATGCGCGAGTCGCTGGACAAGCTGCTTGCCGGTGCGTCGAGGCCATGCTTGCCGGGTCTGTCTGGCCCTTTCCCCGACTAATGCCTCGTGTCTCGTTCCCCCCTTGCAGGAGTCCTGCAATCGGATCAAAGCATCTCCGGCTGGTATGGCGCCCTGGACAGCAGCGGGTGGCTCAAGCACATGCAAATCATCATGCGCGGCACGCTGAAGATGGTCCGCTATGTGTTGGATGGCGGGAGCATCCTGGTCCACTGCTCGGACGGGTGGGACCGGACGGCCCAGCTGGCCGGCCTAGCCGAGGTGTGCCTCGATCCGTACTACCGAACCCGGCGTGGCTTTGCCGTGCTGGTGGAGAAGGAGTGGCTGGCGGCCGGGCACAAGTTTGCCCACCGCATTGGCCACAGTGTCTATGGCAAGGCCAGCTCCCAGTATTCGGAGGTGAGCCCGGTGTTCATCCAGTTCCTGGAGGCCGTGTGGCAGTTGAGCCAGCAGTATCCCCAGTCTTTCGAGTTCACCGGGACCTGGCTTCGGGCGCTCTGGAGCAAGGTGGTCGGCTGTGACAGTGGGACCTTCCTGTTCAATTGCGAGCGCGAGCGCCACCAGCATGGGCTGCCCACCGGATCGCCCTCAGCCTGGGCCGAGCTCCTGTGGCCGACATCCGACTGGCTGGACTTCGTCTACACCAACCAGTTTTACCAGGCCCCGGCGAGCTTGGACCCGATGGCCGGTCGCGGCTCGGCCGACGCCCCGCGCATCCTCCTCCCCCAGACGGCTCCCCATGGGATCCGCTTCTGGCGCGAGATGTATGCCCCCTTCGAGGAGGAGCCCTTGGCGTTGGATTTGTTTGTCCCGTGCGTTCAGACTCCCGGCGGCTACAAGCCCACCTGGGGCCCAAGCCACCGGATCAACATCTGGAACAATGCCACCTTCGACTTGCGCAAGAAGATTGCCGCGGCCGAGCGCGAGCTGGCCGATCTGCGCCGGGCGGCCGCCGGTACTTCCCCCGGATCGGCCGGCGAGTCGGTGGCCGATGACACCGATACCATCTCCGCGTCTACGACTCCCTCCAGTCAGTATCTCTCGGATGACCTTCATCAATACCCGGAAACCGGGACGCTGGACTCCGGTGCGTAGGCGATCCTCTCCCTCTCCCTCTCCCTCTCTCTCCCTCCCTCCCTCTCTATCCACCTCTCTTTCTCTTTTCCTCTCCTTCCTTCACTCCATCCCACTTACTCACTGCCACCTTGCCTCATCCTTAGATGATGTTCCGGGCACGGTGGACGAGACCAAGATCGAGACGGCAGTTGACTCGGATCCCGAGTCGCCGGACCTCTCGGAGTGAGGGTGCCGGGTTCTGCCTTTCTGTGTCTGCCTCCCCCCCCCCCCCTCCCCCTCCTACCTCTCGCCCCCTGGGCCAACGCTCTCACGGCCAATCACGACACACTGGCCTTTTTGTGTCTGCCCCCCGTACTCGCACGATGCGCACCTATGTGACTGTATCATGCGCCACATGCCGCGCATGAAAAGACACCCCCTTTTCCCATTCGCCTCCCCCCCCCCCCCTGTCGCTCTTTTAAACATCAGCCATATGAGTGTGGATGGGCGTGCATGCAGGCACATGGGCGGGGATCTTCCTGTTGGAAGGCTGTGTGTGCTATTTATATTTATTTTCGGCGAGAGAAAGAGAGACAGGACGGCAGTGCGGCCGCGCGAGAAGCCACCACGCTCCTGTGACCGGGCCGGACAGGGGATTGCCCGTGGGCACAGAGAACGCGAGACACGCCCAGGCCGACATTCAGTTGGGCGGGATGTAAATCCCCTCAGTGGCCATCCAGTGGAGGTCATTGTTCTTGCTGGTGGTGGCCGACACCTCCATCTGACCGGGGATCGGGTGTCCATACTGGTAGCGTGCATTGGAGGCCAGGAAGCTCCCCGTGTCATGGTGCATCAGGCGGACCTGCACAGGCGCACAATATCGTGCAAGTCAGCAAACGGTAGTCAGATGATAAGGCCATGCTCCCCCCGGGGGGGGGGGGTTGCCCTAGAAGAAGGAGGAGGCAGCGCAAAAGGAGCCGGTAGGAAATGGGAGCCACGCACAATTTGATCGCGGGGCCAGAACTTGTGCTTGACCGAGCACTCGACGACCCACACGTCCCCGGAGTCCCCCTCCGGCAGGGAGGGATGTGCAAAAGCCGACACCTCCTGAGTGGAGGAGATGGGTGACCTGGGCAGAGGGCGGGGCAGAGGGCGGGGCAGGGGGCGGGGCAGAGGGGGGTTAGAAGGGCTGGCCGAGCAAGGCAGGGACAGACGTGCGAACATGCGGGCGCCCAAGCCACGGCAACGAAAGGAGGCAAAGCCCACATACCGGTGCAGGTGCGAGTGCAGTCGAGTCGACGTGAGGGCATGCTTCAGCCGGATCTGGCTACCGCAGGGAACCGGCGTGCCGCGCGGGCAGGCCCGACCCAGCGGGCCCTCCACAAGCCAGTAGGATCCCGGGTGCGGCCCGGGGCCGGACCCCAGGCCGGCCGTCCCAGGGTATGCGGTCACCACCTGCTGCATGCTGCCGGTGTTGTATTTGATGTCCATCGAGTGAAGCTGCCCCTTGGTCTGAGTGTGCAACAGCTTGATGCTACTGCCGCAGGTGACCGGCTGATCGGCCACCGCGGTAGCCGAGGCCAGAGCCAGAACGTGCAGCAGCATCACGGCGAGTGCCAGAAGCACGCTGTTCGTCGAGACGGGGCGCATGGCGGCGGAACGGGGGAGGCGGGGG